TTTCCTAAGTTGTCCATTACCCCAAATACGTCTAATCCCCCCTTGACTACCTCCAACGATGCTCCCAACGCTTTTAGACCATCTTGCACACATAAATTTAGAACATGACATGCACATTGTTCATGAAAAATCTACCCATCAAAGAAGTAGAACCACACAATTCACGCAATCTAGGAATAGCAGCAGTATTATTAGTAGCATTATCAAAACCAATAGCAAACACCTTATCAATTAAATTATACTCAATTAAAATACGTTCAATCAAAATATAAATATGTTCAGCGGTGTGACGATCATTAAATTCACGGAAAGCAAGAACACGTTTATGCATATGCCAATCATTATCAATATAATGTACAGTCAGACCCAAATAATGTAAATTATGATAAGTATCCTCCCATATGTCAGAACATACAGTAACACGTCCATCAAAGTTTGCAAAATAATTTTGTAACCTTACCTTTTCTGCACCATAACGCCTTGAAATTTCTTTCTTAACCGTTTTGCGACTATAACCTCTATATTGCGGATTTAAACAAGTTTGTGCATAATCACGAAAAGCAAGACTTTCAGAAAACAAATAATGCAAATTTTCTTCAACAAGTAAGTTAGCCATACCTGTCAAATTTTGTGCATCATTGTATGAGAAATTACCAAAAGCTTGTTGGTTATTTGCAAATCTCGATATTTGCGTTTGCTTCCCCGTTCCGCCGCCTAATTTTGCATACTCCACCGGGTGTTTGGACTTAAGGTGTCTTGTGGCGGATCCGTATCCGCCGGAAATCCCCAAGCTATAGTTTTTCTTGCACCAATTGCAAGTTGCGGTCCAATTCCCGGTGTTCGGGTCCTTCCACTTAGAAAAATTATTAGCCATTAATTTAGATTTACTTTTTTTTGTACCTGTTTGGGATGAGGCTGCTTGGTCGGCGTCATGGCTGCCGCCACCCTCCTCCTCCTCGTCGTCGTGGCTCTCCGGAATTGCTTCCTCCACATCTTCGTCCTCGTCCTCGAGCTCTTCTTCATCAATGGTCCTCGGTTGGTCTTGAAAAAAGCAGGAATTATGTCGGTGCAATTCTTGTTCTAGTTGTTCGTCGGTCATCGCATCCCCATCCCTCCTTACGTAACCCGTATCAAAATCATCTCGACTTTGAGATGAAGAGCCGATATGTGATTTACCTTTGCGGGATCTCTTCCTCGCAAGCTCTTTCGTTCGGTTGCGCTCGAGGTTACCCATATCAACCGAATATCTAGGACGATCCATCTAAAAAATGTAGCGATTAATAAAAAATTGTAAAAAACTAATTAACTATTTATGTAACTATTAATTCGAGTTATAGCAAATTAAGTAGTGAATTAACTAGTTTTGTGTACAACATATTTTTTAAACTAGAGTCAAATGTAGCAATTAATAAAAAATTGTAAAAAAATAATTAACTATTTATCTAACTATTAATTCGAGTTATAGCAAATTAAGTAGTGAATTAACTAGTTTTGTGTACAACATATTTTTTAAACTAGAGTCAAATGTAGCAATTAATAAAAAATTGTAAAAAACTAATTAACTATTTATCTAACTATTAATTCGAGTTATAGCAAATTAAGTAGTGAATTAAATAGTTTTGTGTACAACATATTTTTCAAACTAGAGTCAAATGTAGCAATTAATAAAAAATTGTAAAAAACTAATTAACTATTTATCTAACTATTAATTCGAGTTATAGCAAATTAAGTAGTGAATTAACTAGTTTTGTGTACAACATATTTTTTAAACTAGAGTCAAATATAGCAATTAATAAAAAATTGTAAAAAACTAATTAACTATTTATCTAACTATTAAACAAGAGTCAAATGTAGCAAATAACTAGTAATTAAACAAGTGTAAATAATAGAATAATTTCGTACCTCTTTCGGACTTTCGGTCTTTCGGATGAGAGTAATAGAATGACTTCAAATTAATTAGATATAATTCCAACTATATTAATAAATATAATAAATATATAAGTAATATATAATTAGATAACAAATATAAGTAATATAATACTATTTATATCTATTTATAGTTTATATAAGTAGATAATTAATATAAACTATAAATAATAAATATAATATATTGGAGAATGGAGAATAAGAGAATTAGAGAGTTAAGAATAGGATTTAGGAAGAATTGGAGAAGAGATATGAAAAAATGTTGAAGATTAGGAGTATTTATAGGTTTTTTTACCCCCCACCCCCCACCATCCCCCACCAGCCAACCCCCCCGGACCCCCCCTTTACCCCACCCAACGGCTATATAGCCGTTTGGGTTGTCCCCAGCCCTACCCCCAACGGCTAGTAGCCCAAGAGCCCAAACAATTTTTTTTTTTTTAAATAAGACCGGACCCGGGCCCGGGCCCGACCCGCCCGGGCCGGGTCACATTAATCCAGCACCGAGCCCGCCCCGCCCATTCCCACCGGTTCGGGTCCATACCCAGTCCCGGACCGCCCGACCGGGCCGGTCCCGGGCCCGCACAGTACCGGGCCGGGCCGGGTCACGGGCCGGGTGGCCCGAACCGAATCCAACCCTAATACTGGTAGTATGTACTTCTCAAAGAAGTAGCTGGTAGTTTACATATACATGGTAAAAATAATACAAGTATACAACTAGTTTACATATACTCCCTCCGTCCCTTAAAACTTTGCCAACTTTCCTTTTTTGGATGTCCCATTAACTTTGCCACTTTCCCTTTTAAGTAAAGAATTTGTGGTTCTAGTTAATTCTCTTTCCTTTGCACAAATCTCAACCACACAGTTTTTACTTTATTAATTCCCGTGCCGGTCAAACTTGTCAAAGTTTTAAGGGACGGAGGGAATATATGTTTAAGTTGTTTAGACTGTAGAATTGACCAACTGAGACATATCACATATAAACAAGAGTTCTACAGAGTACAAGAAGAAGTAACTGTTAGTTTACATATACATGGTGAAGAAATATACCGGTAGTTTACATATACTCCCTCCGGTTCTGAAAGATCTTTACACTTTCCATTTTTAGCAGTACCAGAAAGATCTTTACACTTCCTTATTTGCCTTATTTGGCAAATAAATCTACACAAAACAGTGTCAAACAGTGCCAAACAGTGTTTATTTCCTTAAAAACTGTGAAGTCAAAGTGTCAAGATCTTTTGGAACCGGAGGGAGTATATGTTTAAGTTGTTTAGACTGTAGAACAAGAGTTCTAGAGACAGAGTACAAAAAGAAGTAGCTGGTACTTTACACTTTACATATACATGCTGAAAAAAATACTGGTAGTAGTAAGAAGAAGTAGCTGCTGAAAATTGAAAAAAGAAATAAAATGGAACGAATGGAAGATGGAAGAAGAAGAAAGTTCACTTTCATCGTTGAGTGCTACACTGCTGCAAGCTTTGCGGTCGATGTGGAGGGACAGGAGGAGGTAGTGAACAGGTAACAGTAGAGTGCATAGCAGGAGGAGGTTTACGTTGTGTGTTTAGCGTAGGTTACGTTGTTTTGACCTTATTTGCATGGGCTTTATTAAAAATATGGGTTTGTTAATGGTCTTATTTGACCGCACATGTGAAACAGCCTTAGTAAACTTAAAATAAACGCTTCCCCTGTCAGGCGCAATGGGCGAGCGCCTAATACGACTACTGTGCTTCAGCGCTTTATGCGCCTAAGCTGCGCCTGAGACAGGAGGGTGCGCCTGATCATCTTTCAAGCGCCGGACCTGTATTGCGCTAAGCGCACCAGGCGCTCGACTTTGACTACCTTGAGTACATTATTAATTCATTACATGTTATAAAATAATAAACTGTTAAACTATTAATAAAAATAAGGCTAAAGGGTCAAATAGTCCCTCAAACTAACTTAAAAACGGCTCTGTCCGGCCGTCGCCATTTGGGGGGTTTCCGGTGGAATTTTTTGATGAATTTTTTTGAGCATCTTCTTCATTAAGTCTAGTTTACCCATACCAAATGTCAGGTAAAAATTCAACCGGGAAGACGGTCAAATGATTTTCTGAAATGTACTGCACTGTTTAACTGCGCAGTTATCTTTAAAAATTCATTTGACTGCCTTCCCGATTGAATTTTTAGCTGAAATTTGGTATGAGTAAACTAGACTTAATGAAGAAGATGCTCAAAAAATTTAATAAAAAAATTCCACCGGGAATCATCCCAAATGGCGACGTCCGGACAGAGCCTCCTATATAAGGGGTGATTTGCACTTTTTAAGTTAGTTCGAGGGCCTATTTGACCCTTTAGCCTAAAAATAAAAGCTATTACATATAATGACGTATACAAATTACAAAGATATGATAGTATGATATACTTACTTTACGAGTTTACATAGTTTAACTCTTTGTAAAGTATATAAATATATGAAAATAATGAAATACCTACTTTACTTTTTGTAATATATTAGTAAATTAGTAATATATAATGAAATACAATTTAATTAGTAATATATTGTATATAATATATAATTATATATACATATAATATAAAATGTGCGACTAGTCGCCTAGGTGATATGGCGGTCGTTTGGCGCCGCGACTCGACTTACCGCCGTGACAAGTATGGTCTTGATTCATGTCTTGAGATGCGAGTATGTGACTAAGTTATATAATTGGTTGTTATGCGTCTATCATAGCACGTTCCTCGTTTATCCTGGCTTTTATAGCATCTAGTAAATCTTGGGACCAAATTATAGTTGCAATTTATTTTGGATGCTATTCACATTTTCATGTTTTTTATGCCAATGACCTTCACAGTTTTAGAAGGAAGTATATGTTTGCTAGTGCGTCAAATAGAACTGTAAGAGTTTTATATTTTAGTTTAAGTTGTAATTTAAGAGTAGAATATTCTTTTAAAATACACTCTCGATAGTGGAATTATAGTCTGAGGGGCCAAAAATGCAATGACCTTTTAAAGCGAATTGACTTTCTGAATTCCGTTAATCATGTATTCGTTTATCGTTTTATCTATAAAGGACTTTGATGCGTGCAGGAACAGCTAAAACCACTGATGGAGCTACTTGGCAGTATAAAAGATTTAGCTGTTCCTGAGCTCGGAAGCCTTCAAGACTGGGAGGCCCGTGCAAGTGCGGAGGCCCGTGGGGTGAATGGTGATCTTAGTGGCAACGATCCCTCAAAATTTTCACAGAGTGGCACACCTATGCCTTTTGTTGGACAGACAAAGGTTTTCTTCCATGCAATACTTTCCCTTTTACAACTCTTACTCATGCAATTTCACAGTGATGAATCTGTTCTACGAATGTTCTTGTATTCACAGTGTTTGTTTGACTTGAGTACTTGACCGTAGCTTATATATTTTATCTTTCTTTTCTGGATGGATAAATTATAGTTACTGCATGTAATACTGTATTTCCTAGTATCATGAATAATTAGTTATTGGCATCATGATTGATGCATTCAATCTTTTCCCTTCTTTGAGCTGACAGATTGCTTTGAAAAAAATGCATGATAAGTGTGTCATGGGGTATTATGATGGAATAAAGCAAAATGGCTCACTAAACTGTCTGCGCTTCTTTATTATGAAGCGACAGTCAGTCCATGTATTTTTTTCCATCATTTGCAATGGAGCCAAAGATTCATTATTTTTTGGCTTGAGATTATGATGGAATAAAGCAAAATGGCTCACTAAACTGTCTGCGCTTCTTTGTTATGGAGCAGTAGTCAGTCCATGCAAGTTTGGACGCGTTTTTCACTATGGGTCATCCGGAAACCGTCTCTCTGTGCTTTAGTACAGGGGTAAGACTGCGTACATCCGACCCCCCCTTACCCCACCGTAGGTGGGAGCCTTTGCGGCACTGGGGTAAATGAAAATGATGATGATGATTTTCACTATGGGTCATTCGGAAACAGTCTCTCTGTACTTAGTACAGGGGTAAGACTGCGTACATCCGACCCCCCTTACCCCACGGTAGGTGGTAGCCTTTGCGGCACTGGGGTAATGATAATGATGAAGTGTGTCATGTGGTCATGGGCAAATATGGGGGGGGGGGGACCTGGGCCCTAGCCCTCTCCAAGTTGTAAAGTTTTTACTACAAAAGCTATGAATGAGTTATGTTTCTGCACTCACTCCAAATTAAAAACTTTGGTGTGAATTTTGAATTTGTTAAAGTTTTTGAGCACTAAGATGGTTCCTATTTCATATTTAATATGGTATCTGTTGCTTACCAACAGGTCGAAGTTGCTTTCCTGGGTCTTGATGAAAAAGGTGACGCTATAAAATCCGAGGGTCCATCATCACCAAAGAAAGTGTTGCCTCCATGGATGATAAAGGAAGGAATGAACCTCACAAAGGAGCAGCGTGGAGAGGCTGCCAAGCAAGAAGTGAAGATGGATGGTACTCCAGCGGCCCTTGGATTCTCCAATGACAGCAAGCCCGAGACTGGTAAAGATGATGTGAAGAATATTCAGGTTATTTCATGCTTGCTAAATTTGTCTGCATTTATTTTCATGAACTCCTTTCAGCATATTTGGTAAGGCTACTTTTGGCTGAAATAGTTGAAAGTAGGAAGTGGCTGAATGGGTTGAGTTTTCTGCAAAAGTATTATCTAAGCAAAATTAAAAATTGAATAAAGCTGCTAAAGAAAAAACAATGTACCAAACATGCTTTTATTTATGCGTAGTTATATCCTGTGTCCGAAATAGCGCTAAGATGAAGCATTTTTGCTGTATTGCGTATTGCATAAGCTTGCATGTGTAATTAAGCGTAATATGTCACATGAGAAACTTATTTATGATATTACACTTGTATATAAAAGGTAAAAATACCTATGTAGGACTAAAAGTCATGAAAATTCCCAGTGTATGACTATATGTGGTTCTTTCCTAGTATATGACTAGGAAACTATGGAATGAAATAAGAAAAAGAGAACTCTAGATGGTTTAAATACATGTTATGTGGCTTCTTATAGGAAAAAATACATAGTTCATTAAAGTGCATGATGTTCAAATTAGGAAGTTCTTTAAGGGATGGATGTAGTATTTTTTATACTAATTTAAGTGAATTTTAATAGTATTTGTAACTATCTAATGATTTCATATAGAGAAAATTACCTCATGTATGACTAAATCTTTGTGTGTTTTCCAAAACGTGACATGTATTTTTCCTAATATGAAGCCACGTAACACATTTAAACCATAAGTTCTATGAATTAAGTCCAGGTCCCTATCATTACATCAGCCTGAGGCATGACTCAATGACTCGAGGCACAATTGAATTTCGCAATTTCTAACACTGGCTATATTTGACTCTTTTGCAGGATGAATATGTTAAGGCATATTATGCTGCAATGCTGAAACGGCAGCAGGAACAAATAGCATTCGCCGAAAAGGTGAAAAGGGAACCAAGTACAGATGACACACCTAGCACATCAACTGAACGCCAAATTGGAATGAAATCCAAACGTGAAGATGATGATGATGTTGAATGGGAGGAGGCAATCCCTGCAGGTTATTTTTCAAGTGTTTTTATGCAATTGTTTCACAATTTGTTTTAATCTAGAAGCGTGCATTGTCTTGGTGCCTAAAATTTCTTGGCATGTTAGGGAAGTGTTATTTGTAGGAAAAGGGATGCTAAGGGTTAATTTTATTTTTAGATTGGGAGTTGTATACTACGGAGTATTTTCTTAAAATCGAATAATTCATCCCTTCCTTCCAGACCCCCAAAAAATGAAATGAAAAGGACCTAAGGGCATGCATGGGAGTTAAGCCTTGCAAGGGATGTGTTGTTTATAAGGCCCAACTATTTTAATAATTAAGTAATACCTTTAGCAAACTAATAATATGTTACAGCCTACGGGCATGTACAATGGCCACAAGTATCTAACTATCTACGATGTGTAGTGGAAGAGTGAAATACTTTGGAGAGAGGGAGATCCGAACAACCGTAGTACCAAGGGTTGAGCCCAACTGACTGCCTTGCTGTCACAGCAAGCAGTCATGTTCCATTTTGATTTTTTTTAATTGGTTTCCTAAACTTATTGTTGTTATTTCCTTTTTCAGTATAAGGCAGCTTCGTATTAGCCTATAGCTTTTACTTTCCTATTATAGTTAGGGATCTAAAATCCAACTTAACAGACCTTAGTTCTTATTGAGAATTATTTTATGTGTCATGACGAGGTTGGCAGCAAATTAATTCAATAATAAACATTTAAAGTTCTCTCTTGATCGATAAATCCGTGCTGCAGGAATAAATTTGAAATCAATTCAGAGTTCCTCTGACTTCTCATTCTAACACTAGTACGAGATCACAGACCCATTTCTTTAACATAATACTACCTTTCAGAAAAAGTAAATAATAATGATAATAATAGCAAGGTGTTTTCAAAAATATTACTAAAGTAAAACTTATTTACACAGATATGACTAATAGTTACTACAATATAGTGTCATGGTCACTTAAGTTTAAAAGTTGAAAATAAGTTACTATGATTAAGTTACTATTATAGTCACTAGTCGCATTTTGTAAATAATCTTTATATTAGTCATAAATATGTAATAATTTCTAATAGCAATAGTAAAGATAATCATCATCACCTCTAATCTACTGATGCTGGGCATTAATTTTTGTTTCAAATAGCTAAAGTTGTTTAGCTCCATAAATTGCAATCCTTAGTGGCAGCGTTGTAGACCTTGATGTCTTTCTTGTCTCTAAACAATCGAAAGAGGAAGGGAAAAGGTGCAAATAAGCCCTCGAACTAATCGAAAAAGTGCAAATCACACCTTTTATAGGAAGCTCTGTCTGGCCGTCGCCATTTGGGGCGGTTACCGATGGAATTTTATGATGAATTTTTTTGAGAATCTTTTTCATTAAGTCTAGTTTACCCATACCAAAGTTCAGGTAAAAATTCAACCGGGAAGGCAGTCAAATGATTTTCTGAAATATACTGCGCTGTTTAACTGCGCAGTTAGCTTCAAACATTTATTTGACTGTCTTCACTATTGAATTTTTAGCTGAAATTTGGTATGGGTAAACTAGACTTAATGAAGAAGATGCTCAAAAAATTTCATCAAAAAATTCCACCGGAACAACCTCAAATGGCGACGGCCGGACAGAGCCTCCTATAAAAGGGGTGATTTGCACTTCATAGGTTAGTTCGATGGCGTATTTGCCACTTTCCCCAAAGAATAATAATGAAATCTAGCTCTAATTTGCTGAGATAGTTATTGCCATGTGATTGAAATTTGACATTGTAAAAGCAACTCGCACATCATTTTATAAGTTATTATGAGCTCAAGTTTGAGTAATGAGTGCATCAACTTGCATTGAAGCTCATAAAGTATCTCAACTTGTATCCGACGAAGTAGGGAGTACATTAACTTACATGAGATCTCAAAAAGTACTTGAATTAACTTATATAAAGGGAGAACATAGGAAAACTGAATCAATAGTTTGTTAACTAGTAGTTTAAACTAGTTGAAAATTGAAAATAATTTAAAAATGCGATGTTTGATAAAGTTAATTGTTAAATAAGCTACTAATTGATAAAATATAAGATGTTTGATAAAATTGGTTGTTAAACAAATAAGCTGCAGTTGATGAAATGTTTCATAAAATTAATTCTTAAATAAGCTGCTCCCTCCATCCCATTTTGTAAGATACACTTTTCAATTTGGGTTGTCTCAAAATATGAACACTTTCCTAAATAACACTCCACTAACTTTTTACATTCCCACTTGATCCCTTTATTGATCATTTCACCTTTTTACTTTTTGTGGACATCATATCTTTTCTTATTTTTTGGAGGTTAGAATCTAAAACAAAAACTCTATCCCTTACTTTCTAAATCCTGCGCCAAACCCAATTTTTTTTTATGGGGTGGAAGGAGTATTATTGATGATATATATTGAATAGATTTTTTTTTTTTTGAAAATAGAGTTTTTTATTTATATATAATATTTTTAATATTTGTGTTGAACATATGTTGAAATGCTATAAGTTAAGAGTCACAAAACATTAGATAAAGTTAACGGTTAAACTTTAAGGGCTCTAACAATATAGTTTAAAATGTGATTTTAGTACATCAAGTTTAGCATAAAATGTGATTTTAGCACATCAAATTTAGCATAAAGTTGATGTGCTTCAAGGGCTCTGACAAGAGTTCACAAAGTTTATACGTAGTGTTCTGTTGTTTCTGTTAGTTTGTACGTAGTTCACAAATTTAAGTTTGTAGTTCTATTATACGTAGTATATTTTTGGATTTTAATGCAGTGTTTACTTGTATTTGTTTGAAGCGTAAGCCAGATGTAATATTAGATGGTTTCATGTTTCTTTTCACTTTGGTAACATGCCAGGCTCAGGTAATACATATGGAAACTTCAAAGTGGACTTGAATGTTCAAGCAGAGGCTGCAGAAGATGAGGATGATGATGACATTGATTGGGAGGAAGGCTAACTTAACTAGGTGATGATATGCTATGCTGCCAGTTGGATTTGTTTGATTTGCCGTTTTGAGCAATTTGTTTTGGTGAAAGTGGGTGACTGGTAATTGGGTAATGGACTTGATAGAGAAGAAGCTTAACGCAGAGTACATGAAGATACCTCCGAACATTTGAGAAAGCTTTGACATTGACAATGATACAAAGGTGTTAACTAACTCATCAGTGTCAAGAGCGACCCTATTGTATCGTTAAGATATTGGCCATGTTTGGTAAATGGGCTGATCAACCAAAAATTAGCTTGTTTGACTAATTTTAGCAGTGACCCTATTGTATCGTTAAGATATTGGCCATGTTTGGTAAATGGCGATCAACCAAAAATTAGTTTGTTTGACCATTTCAACCAGCTGAAAATTATTTTTGGTGAAACGCTGTTTTTGTATAGCTTGTCGAACGAAAACGCCGTTTTTTGAATTGCTGCAAGGGACAGCGTTTTGCAATAGCTGCTCACAAAATATAAAGCAAAAGCCAGGGTTGCACTCTCTCGTCACTGCCGATTGCTGAATTAGTCCCATACTAAATTATTGTGTTAGTGCACATTCATATGTTACTACCATACTAAATTAATATGTTAAACTAGTGTTAGTGCCGTATTAAATTATTATTATATGTTAGGCTATTATTACTTGTATACTCCCTTTGTCCCATTGAACTAGGGGTGGGCACAAAAAATCGATAACCGTTAACCATATAATAAAACCACAATACCGTTAACTTTTGTGGTTAACCGTACTGGATATTTAAAAAGCTTGTGGTACGGTTAACCTACTAAATTGAATAACGGTTCATGGTTCAGTTATGGTTATCACCGTTGGTTAACCGGTAACCGAAAGAAATTCTTATGTTCCGTATTTCAAATGTTTTGAAATCATCAAATCAACAAGCCTACTGTTTTCTGTAACTTTCTCCTAGGTGCTAGTCAAACCTCAGTTCGCCTTACGTTAACTGAACCTTCCTTCAAAAGTGAAGAAGTTTGTAGAATTAATATCATCTTCCAATTTCTTGTTAATTTATTGCCACACTAAGTTATTCCTTTTTCTGAAAATATAAAATTAATTATAATTGCCAGAGGCTGGTCTAGGATGGGGTGCAGTTGTGCGATGATTTCTAGCCGGGAGGTGTGAATACCACCACGATCCTCATCACCAAGGACCAAGGTTGGCTTTTAAAGTAAGTAATTCCGGTGAATTAATTGGGAGAACAATTCTGGCGAATTAATTGAGAGAACAATTCCAACGGATTAATTTGGTCAACAATTCCAGTGAATTAAAGAGAGGATGTTGGGGAAATAATAAGCTACTCCGTATTTTCTTAGGAGACTGTCATGGCTGATTAGGAACACTAGTTTGGAGATGAGTTCACTCAGTTGGTAATTTTTTTGGTTATGGTTAACCGATTAATGGTTAACCAAAATTTTGGTTAACCGATATTCGGTTAATCGATGCTATGGTATGGATAATTGTATTGAATATATATTAACCGGAATCACGGTTAACCGATTTTCGGTTAACCAAATTGCGGTTAACCATGTATGCCCACCCCTACATTGAACTTTGACAACTTAATTTGTTTGTTTGTCCTAGGGATGGACCCGGGCCGGTCTGGGCCCGGTTCAATGTCTATTTTTTTTTGCTTTCTTGTTATCCCCCGACTCCCCCTCACCCCCACCCTCCAAACCTCCCCAAAACACCCAGCCCTAGCCTAGGAAAAGAAAACAAATTGAAAAAAAGACCCGGGCCTGGCCCGAATCGCCCGGTCCGGTTCACCCAAAACTGGGCCCGAGCCCGGTCCGCCCGACCCGCCCAAACGGGCTAAAAGCCCGGAACCGGCCAACCGGTCCCGGTCCGGTCCGGGCCCGCACATTTGCTACTTTCCTATTAAAGCAACTAATTTGTGGTTCTGCACATTTCTCTTTCCTCTGTACAGATTTCAACCACCCATTTTTTACTATTCTTATTTCTCACCTATTTGCACTTGGCAAAGTCCATCGGGACGGAGGGAATATATCATATGTATGTAAATTTATATTCGAATAGGGCAGTTCATATCAGGTTTGTTTGACAGGACTTGTCGTCTAGCCAATGTCATTTTAGGCCCTTGGAATTTTTGAATATGTTATTCATCAAGTCTAGTTTGCCTTCAAATTTTAGCTAAAAATTCTATCAAGAAGTTACTCAAATGCTCTCACACACACACACACACACATATATAGAGAGATAGAGAAAGAGATCTTCAGGTTCAGAATTATGGTCTCTGGACCAGAACCGCCGTCCGGATGGCGGCGTAACCGGCGTTTGGATCACTTTCAGGTGAAATTTTTTGATTAATTTTTTTGGACATGTTCTTCATCAAATCTAGTTTATACACAAAAAATTTCAGCTAAAAAATCAATCGGGATCATAGTCAAATAATTTTTGAAGGATAACTGCGTTTTATACGTATATTTTCGCGCGATTATGTTACAACAATTATTTGACAATTGACATTCTTCCTGATTGAATTTTTATTTGAATTTTTTTGTAGATAAAGTGATAAACTAGACTTGATGAAGAATATGTTGCATATATGTAGAGAGAGAGAGACAGAGAGAGAAGATCAGGTGAGAAGTCTCCCTTAAAATTAGAAGTGAGAATTAATCTCAGCCCTTGGATTTGCATCTATTCTTACAACGCAGTAAACTTATAGACTGAATATAGGAACTTATAAACAATAAATCATAACTTATAAAGTTCTCCATCATAATTACGGAAATGCCACCGCGTCAAAAAAAATTTGAAGGTTTCTGGAGTTATTTTTTGCGGTGGCATTTTCGTAATTATTTTCGAGGGGCCTATAAGTTATGATTTATTAGTTAAAAGTTCATGTTTTTAGTCTATAAGTTAAACTTCGCAGTTCTCAGTCTAAGGATACTTCTCATCTGATCCGCTCCCTATATATACTACATACCCACACACACACACATATTGGGGTCCTTCCCAGTGGATTTTTTTGATGAAATTTTTATGGCATGTTCTTCCCATGCAAAGTGAGAATAAATCTTGTGCATCCATTTCCACATCTAATGGCTCAAAATGAGCCAAAATGCACTAAATTTGGTCAAAAATGCGGTGACAATTTCGTAAGTAAATCGAAGTTTTTTGCCACCGCGAAAAAGTGCAAGAGAAACATGCAATAGTGCAATGCGGTGATGGAAAAGTGCAACTGTTCGCACTTTGCACGGGAACACCTCTTTTCGTTTGAAATCCTCTCTCTCTCTCTCTCTCTCTCTCTCTCTATATATATATATATATATATATATATATATATATATATATAGGGGGAGGAAGATCACATACAAACTCATCTTCCGGTGCAAACTACAAACTCATCACATCCGTCCAAATCTATAAAATCAAGAGCGGATAAACGTCGTCCACAATAATGGAGCGTGTGTTGAGATGCAGAGAATAATGTAAATCATTTGGGCTATTAAATTGCAGCAGTTAGTGGGGAAGGTTACCAATGTCATTTGACATTTTAAAAACGGAGCTGCCAGCCTGCCACTAATATGGAAACGATACGGAAACATCTCACCACTAATTAATGTAATCCACCACTAACATCCAATCAATTAAGGTAACCCACTACTAATATTTACACCTTCAATTGAAGCAAATAAAAAAAAGGTTCGGGTAATTAGTATGCATCGGAGGAGGAAGTTGAATCTCTATATACATATTAAGGTGAGATTTTGTCCAACAAAGAAGGTTGCATTATCAATTCAAATAATGGCTTCACTACAAGAACACATGATAGCATTTATAAAATTAATATCTTAATATACGGATTCAGATGCTCCATATTTAACCTTCAAAAATTTGAAACTTATAGATGGAAAGCTCTCGAATGAAGAAGTCAGCACTGGTAGAATTTTTGCATATTAAGGTCACATGATGTGCATATTAAGGTTACAAGATGTGCATTATTAAGGTTACGAGATGTGCATGTTAAGTTGACAGGATGTGCATTTCATATTTGTAATGTCTCCATCACTTATATTAGAACTACATAATGATAACATATATCGACATTACGTTGCATTTTAGTGTCTCATATGTTACATCATATGAGTATAAAATGTGCATTTTAGGAGTTCATATATTACATTTTAGTATGATGATATGTGCACTTTAGAATTTCATATTATCATTATGACATTTGCATTGTATAGTCAATTGACATGTGTACAAATTTAATGATATCACATTATGCATAATATAAGAGAAACATGTTTTAAACGGTATATTAGAAGAAGTGCATAATATAAGAGAACCATGCACATTATACGAATTTGCATTTTATCATTATGACATGTGCATTTTAGAAGTTCGTGTATTGAAATTTAGTAAGATGATATATGTGCACTTTAATATTTCATACTGCATCTTGTCATTATGACATGTGCATCTTAGAAGTTCTTATATTGCACTTCAGTAAGAGTATTATAAGTGCACCTTAATAAGATTGCATGTGCATTTTAGAAGTTCATGCAGTGCATTTTAATTAGATGGCATATGCATTTTAAAAGTTCATATAACGCATCTTATATCGTTATGATATCTACATTCCATATTCAAATGGCATGCATACATAATTCAAGGGATTACAGAATGCATAATATATATGAGTACCATGTTCTAAATGGTAAAAAAATCATACTGAAATCACAAGAAGTTTGGAAACACAAAATTATTAAATTGATATGAAAATGACAGAAAAAATAAATTAAAAAGTATCTTTTCAAAAGATATTTGCATGATTTTTCACACTAGAATGCATACGAAATTCAAAAACTTCGACGGAATCCACGACTTTTCAAATCGTTGAATTAAAAATTAAAAAACCCGACGTGCACACGAATTCCATGGCGACATCGAAATCCATGGTCTTTGAGAACTAATGTTCTCCCTAGACATGCCAGGATTCATGAGTTTGAATAGAAGAACATCAACCACATTCTGTTAAATTTGAGATAGAGATGGAGAAAAAAATAAGATGGAGATGGAGATGGAGACGGAGATGGAGACGGAGATGGAGACGGAGACGTAACCAGATATGGAGATGGAGGCATATACGGAAAGGTAGATGGAGATGGAGATGGTGAAGCTTTGATCTAGAGAGAAGATGGTCGAACGTGCACGAAAGGAAATAACTGGATGAGATTAGTAACATGAGTAAACGTGATTTAATTTCCAAATATAAAATAAACCTAAAAGACTATTAAACCCTCAATTGTCTAATCTAATTGAGATGTAAGACACGGATGATCAACCAAAATAGAGGGCTAGGATTAGTTATAGCCTTTGGATTGATCTCTAAGGATGTTTTTACTTGGATGGTAATTTCTCCCAGACCAGACCAGACCAGTTCAGACCAGACTAGACTTGGATAGTTATAAAAATACAAAGAAACCAGACCAGACCAAACCAGTTCAGA